TGCGATGATAGAGACTTGGGAAACACCGACATTTATATAAAAAGACTCAGGTGAGTGGCCGTTCAAGACCACCTTCATTTCGCGATTTGGTAGGAAAGATTGAATGAAATCAAAACCTTAACCTGAAACACTGTAAACCTTCAAAGACCAGCATTAGCAAATCCCTCCAAACGTTTTCGAGATATGTAAATCGAAAGTCCGAGTAAAAGTTTGGCATACTCTTTCAGCAATAGCCATTAACACATCGGCAGTTGACCTTAGATATTATTTGAAGATACAGATGAAATTATATATGCAGTAATACAGCCATATGTGTGTGTGTGTGTGTGTGTGTGTGTGTGAATGCGAACGTACCCACTTGTTTCTGGGTGGGGGATGGTTTGTACCTGTATAGAGCTGCATCTTCCTCTACGCCAGAAAAAAGTGTTTGATGTAATCAGTGTTATTGCGAAGGAATTTCTCTATTTTCTCTTTAACATTTCTCAAGCACATAAACGGTGCTAATCTATTCTTAAGTGGGTTGCACGGGCCTCAGAATCCATCAGGTTGATTTCGCATGCTTCATTCCTGGAGGTCTCTAGCTCGGTATGGCTGATAAGAACACTTTTTAAGAACGAATACGACAACACGATAGTTAGCAATTCGCTCGTGTCCGAAGAGGTATTGGAATCGTGAAAGATGCCTTCCAGATACTAAACGAAATATTAAGAAGAAAATTTTCTTTAGAAACAAAGAAATAAAATAAAATAGTGCTTAAATGTTATGTAATATCAATCCTCCTTAATGTGACACTGAATGCTGGACAATTTCCTCGCAGATTCCAAGGAGACTTGAAGCAAAAGAAATCTTGGTATACAAAAGGATAATGAGAATACTATGGACGAAAATATTTTTTTAAAGAAGGTTCACACTGTACAAGGCCCTGGACCTCTTGAGATGGAGGGTTACATTAAGGGGCAATTTAGACAGATAGGGAAACATAACGGTTAAGTCTAGACTTGAACGGGTTAAGTTTGTAGTGATCGGGAAAACATCCTCTTGGGAGTCTGAGTAGTGGTTAGCGCGAAGAATCTGTTCGAGTGAAATATTTCTCATCAATCAAAGACGGAGGGAATGCGGATGGTTTACTACAATGTAAGGTTAGGTCTGGCGGAACCAAGAAATGTAGTTCGTCTGTGTGAGCAACAAAGAATGGAAATAAAATGAACACTTTTGGTTAGGAACAGAAAGAGACATTTCGGATACATAATGTGAAAGTCGTGATTGGAGATTTTCACACTCATATTAAGCATGAGTGACAAAGTGAATCCTACCTAACTAACGGAACAGGACTGGCGTGGGATAGCAAAGGAACAAATTTTGCTAAGAATTACAAAAGATAGGAAGTTCCGAAGAGCCAGATCGCCTACGTCCTGACGGCACATAAAAGAAGACGTGAATTAAATTCTCCTTGAGAGTCTCACTAATGCGGACCTCTGCCAGACTAATATGGTCATGTGCTCCTGCTATTTATTTAGATCTCCTTGATAAAATCTAAAGAAGAATCAGCAATATTATTGGTCCTGATCTGGCAGCTCGGCCTCAGACACTTTCCCACGGCCGCAAGGTATAAATACTTTCATGGTAATTTTTCGGATGAACTCTTTGCTATGGTGCCTAAACTCTTCGAATTTAAGCGCAGTACCAGACTACTGACGAGGTCTCACCAATTTACAGTTGAGCTGGCTAGATGTAACCGTAAGTTCTATGCTAACTAACAGTTTCTTTACTCGCACTTCTCACTTGTGGAACTCCTTTCTGGCTCCATGCTATCCGGCCAACTTTAATCTGCAAAAATTTAAATGCAATATCAATTGCTATCTACTGTCCTCCTGATTACTCTTCTTCTGTTCTCGCTCCTTGGCAATGTTCCTGTTGCTCTTCCACAGCCAGTAACCCCCCCCCTTGCATCTCGGTGGTTTTACTGGCCTTCTTGGGGTGATATCGATTAAATAAATATGATGTGCTTCAATACTCAGCCACCTTTTCGGATGAAATAGTTGCACGTTTATTACTAGTACCAATAGCAGTTCAAACCCAGTAACACAAACACCCACAAATATATATATATATATATATTTCGAATCCTGATTTTTAAGATGACTTGAGACGTTTAACTTCAGAGGTCTGGCAATGTGCTATACACGATTATTCTTATTTGCAACTTAATATTTCGACCATTACTCGAGTTGCTTAAATTTTGCACAAGAATTGCTACTCAAATTGCTGAAATGCTTACTTAATTTTTTATGCCTGGGTCAAATAACTAGAAAAGTATAATATTTCAATGTAACTAAACTAGTAGAATTATTTAATATTATTATTCATCCAATACAAAGCCCAATACCCATTCAAGGTTTATTTTGGTTGTTTAACGGCATATCAACACCTTATGGGTCATTAAATGCCGAGATTTAATTTTCTTGGAAGCTTTGTAATAAATAATAAAAAATAAGTTATTCTGCTTTCGCAGTTGAATACATGGTAGATGATTCTCAGCTTTTGAGCATATACATGTTTGCGTGGACATAATTACTACAATCGGTAATATGTCTGTTTTATCTTGTAATTTTGTCGATGTCATATTTTCGAATACAGTTTGGTTTCATTAAGAAATTGTGGGGTAGTATATGGATTAATGCCATGACAGTTCTTTCATGTTGGTTGTTTGGTTGATTTTTGTTTAGCGACATATCAACATCTCTATGGGTTATTTAATGCCGAAATGTAAATATTTTGCCTATGTAGGAAATATGAACTCGCTCGGAGTCAACGAGAAATGTTACCGCCACAAACCAGAAAAAGTGATTAAAAATGACCAGGCCACGGCCTTGTAGAAATTCAACATCCAAGCAGACAACATCTTTGAAGGCACCAAACCATTATAAAAAAAAAAAAATTAAATTAAAAAATCAGGAGGATGCCACCTCATCGACGTAGCTGTTCCTGGTGATCCTAATGTCAAAGTCAAAGAAATTGACACTGACTTCCAGAATGAAGATGTCAGAATGTGGGACATTCAGGTCACTATTGCCTCAGTTACCATTTGGTTGTTGGGACCTATACCATCTAACTTAAAGACCTATTCGGAAATCGAAATTAAGCCTAATATCCCATCGCTTCAGAAGTCCGCATTGCTTGGGTTTGCAAATATTCTGCGAAAGATCCTATCTATTTGAGATCGTACGAACACCACTAATGTGTTCCGGTTGAAAACGAAAAACTGCTCAATAGGGATAATAATAATAATAATAATAATAATAATAAGAAGAAGAAGAAGAAGAAGAAGAAGAAGAAGAAGAAGAAGAAGAAGAGGAGGAGGAGGAGGAGGAGGATTCTTGCTGAACAGGACTAGACCTTTTTTAGCCTTCCATCAACATGGCTGATGCTAACCTCCAGAAGTGCAATTTTTTGCACATTCTTGGGCTCACGTTTTCAACTGACATGAAGTTGGGTGATTATATTGAATCAATCGCTAAGTTTACTGTTTGGAAAATTGGTTCACTGTGTCGTGACAGATCATTTTTTCTCATTAGAATCCATATTGCACATTTATACATCTACCATTCGTCTGTACATTGAATATTGTTGCTATATCTGGTCTGGTGCTCCGGTTATATATCTCGAAAATCTCGACAAAAGGGTCCTCATCTGGCATCTCAACTTTCCTACCACCGTGACGTGGTTTCTTTCTGTCTTTTTTTTTTATATAGATCTGGCAATTGTTCTGATGTTCTTTGCTCCTTAGTCCTTTGACTGCATGAATTTAAGCGTACTATTAGATTGGTAACTAGTTTTCATTGTTTTACTCTTGAACTAAGAGTAACCGTAAGTTCTATTCCAATAGTTTCTTTTCCTGTTTCTATGTCACCTAGAATCTTCAAAGATTTAAAAGCAATGCCAATCGTTATTTTCTGTCTTCTTGAATTCTGTTCTTTTATTGTCCTTTCTCCTCACTAAAATCTTATTGAGTTTCACTCCCAGTTCCCTTTGCGTCTTAGTGACATAATCTCTTTGCTTGGGGCTGAAATTATTTTAAAAACGTAGCAAGCTAATATATTGCATAATAGTACGGACCCAAAATGTAGGTTCCGTGACCAATGCATTGAAACTATTGATCAACAGAGTACTCAATATTCACACCCAATGAGTACAAAAAGCGTCATGACAGGGTAGGTCAATATCTACATTGGAAGATCTGTCAGCAATATTGGAAAAAAATTACTGCAAACTAGTATGGACATTATCCTGAATCTGTAGTTGAGGGAGAAGATGTTACCATCGTCTGGGATATTTCTATCAACACAGACTGAACAATTACAAGCAAACCCTACAGACATTATTATCAAAGACAAAAAAGAAAATGTTTGCAAACTGATTGACACGAGCGTAGCAAGTGAGAAAAACATCTCTGCAAACGTTTTTGAAAAACCTAAGCAAATACAAAGACCTGGAGATGGAAAGAGGAAAAAAGAAGTGGTATTTAAAAACTAAAACTGTTTCTCTTGTGATTGGAGCTTTGGGTCTGATAAAGAAAGGAACTCAAGAACAAATCAACAAAATTCCATGCAAGTACCTCTCCAGGAAATCCAAAAAGTATTTAAAACAAGTTGACCATAACCTGCAAAGAGCTTTGTCTATTTGAGATTTTTTTGTTAATAACTGTCATTTGTTTAATTTAGTCAGTCAGTTATGTGCCATGCGTGATACACGCTTAGGCGATCATGTATCTTTCGATACATGACTGACGAGGGAGATTTTTTTTCCCGCGGCAGGTTGCTATTTCTTTCTGCGGTAGACCATTTGCCATCCAAGGCTATAGAACCCAGTTAATCAAGCGGAATAAAAAATATTTCTTCTTTTTTTTATTTCATGTTCAGCCACTATTTTTTCTTTCTTTTTTGGTCTATTTTTTTCTTTCATGTAAAGCCTCTCTTTTTTTTTCGTTCTTTTTTCTGCAGCCATTCTTTTTTCCTTTCTTTTTTTAGATTATTTTTTATTATTTTATGATCAACCATTCGTTTTTCTTTTTTCTTTCTTTATTTCGTCTATTTTTTCTTTTGTATGTTCAGTTTCTCCTTTCTCGTATTTTTATTTCTTTTTTAGGTGCGTTTTTTTTTCTTTTATATTCTATCTCGCTTTCCTCGCTTTTCTTTCTTTAAGTAAAGGTTTTTTTTTATATTCAGCCTCGATTTTTCCCTTTTTCTTCTTTTCTTAGTTTAATTTTTTTTCTTTAGACTCTGTATATTTATTTCTTTTCATTTTTTGCCTAATTTTTTCTTTTATATTCAACTTCTCTTTTTTTCCTTTCTGGGTTTTTTTATCTTTTTCTTTTATATTCAATCTTTCTTTTCACATTTTTCCTATCGTTTTTTCCAGTTTTTTTCTTTTATTTTCAACTATTCTTTTTTTTATTTTTTCTTCTTTTTCTGTGGTCTGTTTTTTCTTTCATGTTCAGCCTCTCTTTTTTCTTCTTCATTTCTTTTTTTCGATCTGCTTTTTCTTTTATATTTAGCCTGTCTTTTTTATTTCCTTTTTTAGTTTATTTCTTATTTTATGTTCAGTCTCTCCTTTTTTTCTTTCTTTTTGTTCTAATTTTTCTTCTGTGTTCAGCCTCTCTTTTTTTTTTCTTTCTTTTTTTGCGTTTAAATGTTTCTTTTATATTCAACCTCCGTTTTTTTCTGTTACACTTTCGTTTTTGTCTGTTTTTGATATTCAGCTTTTCTTTCTTTCTATTCTTTTGGCCGTTTAATTTTCTTTTATGTTCAGGCTCTTTTTCTCTTTTTTTTTTCTCTCTTTTTTTTGGCCTATTTTTTCTCTCTATATTTTTTCTTTGTTTTTGTCTAATTTTTCTTTCCGTTTTCGCACTTTTTTTTTCTTGGCACTTACTGTGTGCTAATTAGCACAGGACGCCATTGAGGGCAGCGGCGAAAGGAAGATTTTGCTGATCCAATAAGCGCGGAACTGCCTGCCTCGAAAATCCTCATCCGAAATCCTAACTTTCTTTACCGGGGCTTGAACTCTACTACTTATAAATTAAGAAAAATAAAGAAAAGAGAAAAGAACAATGAAGAAACCAATGTAGTTACATTGTTACGGTTTTTCTTACTTTGCTTCTTTTTTTTTCTGTTTGCTCGGCTCTTCTCCACCCATGTTTAACTTTTTCTCTCATTCTTTTTCTTTTCTTATTTTTCTTCATTCTTCGCATTCATTCTTTCTTCTTTCTTTTGTATATAAAGGAAACACTCAACAGTAAACACTTAAAAACTCATTTAAGCCATTCATCTTCTTTGATCTTCCATACCCCCCTCCTCTAGATTCCGTCTTTATATGAAACAGTATTCGTTTTGTTCGAGTAAAATAAACTGGCATATTTCTCGACGACGCTTTGAATGCTTGTGGAACGCTATTTTTTATGTTGTTATCCGGAAAGTTCTGTGACCAACCACAGAAAAAAAAAATCGTATGTCTTCCGTTATACAAAGGTCAATATCTATACAATACATATTTGCACAGGGCCTTTTCTTTTGGGCCTGTGAGCCAGATTTTCATTACCCCTGATTATTTTCATCAGCCAATCCCACTTAGCAAACAACAAATCTGGGTTTAGTCTATTTAATTCTTGCAATGTACAATATACGCCCATTTTCAGCCCTTTTCTTTTACAGGTCGTTGTCCCAAATAATGTTAATTATGGAGGTAACATTGACCGTTTATTTATAAGGAAATATTTACCATAAATTGACCGAGCAGTTAGTGCTGCTGTTACTTGACATTTATAAAATCTTTCTATTAAAACAATTTTTCAGGAAAATAGTCCACTAACTGTCATCGCTCTTTCTAGTATTGCTGGGGTTTCCTTTCTAACCTTTTGTTCGAAGTAGTGTGTAAGATCTACATCCTGATTATGTCATTATTTTCCCGGGGTAGATAGAGTGTTACAGAGCAAGAGACTGTTTATGGGGACATGTAAGGAAGGTAATGGTTGACTTGGGACTTGAACAGTTTAAGATTGTAGTGATCGGGGAAGCATCCTCTAGGGAGTCTGTTCCACAAAACTGTGATTACGATGAGCTATGGCTGCGGCATATCCATGTACTATCCATTTTAGTTGTTGCTGTTGTTGAACGTCCTCAAGTGATGTGGTTTCTGTTATTTGGTATAGATCTTCATGATTCTGTAACACCAGTCTACAAGGTTCGTAGAAGGATTGTCGTCGCTAAGAACTACTGGTTTCATTCGATCAAAGCTATTTTTAACTGTTGATCTTTAAAAGTTTTGTATACATTTTACAGTTTAGATATTTCTGGACAAGTTTGGCGTCATACATGACATTCACATGTAAGTCTTGATCTGACGAGACTATTTAAGGTTTGGTTTGGTTTAGTTTGTTTTACGGCATATTAAACTCAATCGGTTATTTAATGCTGACAAGAATTTTATTGCTGGTATATTATTTTTAAAACTATTTCTGGTAATATTTTTCAAAAAATGTATTGCTGGTAATATTTTTTTTCAAAAATGTATTGCTGGTAATATATTTTCCTTCAAAAATTTATTGCTGGTAATAATTTTTTACAAAATTGTATTGCTGGTATTAAAACCTATTTTTACACGTTTTATTGCTGGTATATTATTTTTTAAACTATTTTGGGTAATATTTTTTCAAAAATGAATTGCTGATAATTTTTTTTTTTTTTACAAAAATGTATTGCTGGTAATATTTTTTTCTTCAAAAATTTATTGTTGGTAATAATTTTTTACAAAATTGTATTTCTGGTATTAAAACCTATTTTTTACGTTTTGACCCCAGTTTGGGGATTAACTATTTGCTCATAGCTGGGACCTAACAGGTACTACCACCCCGAGTCAAAGTGGACCTGGGAACACCAGCAATTAAGAGGTGCTTCTACGCTCCTCAAAACCTCCTGATCAAAGTCTTTGCTGTCGGGTGTAGTTTATCGTCATACCCATGACATAGCAGATGTAGTTTATCGTCATACCAGAACGGGGCTATTTAAGAACGTGACTCAAGTTTTCTGATTAGATAGCGCTAGTCTGTAGGGTTTCTTTACAAAGGATTGTCTTCTTTAAGTCCTAAATAATGAATTCGTTTAAAGCTGTATTTGTCTTTAATATGGACAAAATAACTGGTTTGTTTCTTTGTTTTATTTTGTTTATGGCATATCAAACTCATTATTTAATGCCAACAAGATTTTTATTGCTGGTAATATTTTTTTCAAAAATGTATTGCTGCTAATTTCCAAAGATTTATTACTGGTAATAATTTTTCTACAAAAATGTATTGCTGGCAATAATTTTTTACAAAAATGTATTGCTGGTATTAAAACCTATTTTTACACTTTCATAGTGTTTTGATCCCAGTTTGGGGGAGTCAACTATTTACCCATAGCTGGGACCCTAGCAGGTGCTATCACTCAGGGTCAGGGTGAACCTTGGAACACCAGCAATTAAGAGGTGCTTCCACGCTTCTCAAAATCTCCTGATCAGAAGCCTTGATGTAGTTTATCATCTTACCCAGGACGCGGATGTAGTTTATCGTCATACCCAGGACGGAAAAATAACTGGGTTTTTATTGACTGGATGATAGAACTAAATATATATTTTTGTTTTTACTCAGAATTACTCAAAAAATCTCAAAATTATTATACTTGTTTTTCTTCTTATGCGGACGTTCGCTTATGGTCGCATCACGTTGAAACACATGTTCCCGTTCGATCCCCAAAGTTAAGCAGCGTCGAGCCTGGTCAGTATCTAAATGGGTGACTGTTTGGGAATACCAGGTGCTGTAAGCTTGAATGTGCAAGTGGTATAATGGACACTGGCTCGGAATTGTTAATCGGAGAGCCGAGTTCTAATTCCCGTTGGGTTTGTTATATTTACTTACGAGTAAATTACTCTTGGGAAAGATATAAATCCGTCTTTTCTCCCCAAGCTATGGATTAATTAATATAACTTGTATCAATAAACCATTATTATCTTTCGGCGCCATGCTATCCAGCCAACTTTAATCTTCAAATATCTAAATGCAATGTCAATCGCTGTCTACTGTCCTCTTAATTACTCTTCTTTAGTTCCTGTTCCCTTAGCAATGTTTCTGTTTCTAGCTTTTCCACACCCAGTAATCCCCTTGTGTCTCAGTGGCTTCACTGCCTTGCCTGGGGCGAAATCGATTAGAAAAAAATTCCCCCCGCCCCGCAAAAAAATAAAAATTCGTAAAATCTAAAAAATATTTTCTGGCTTTAAATAACTTGCAAAGTATTGATAAGCCGTACAAAATGAATGAATCAATCAATGTTCATGAACGCACTTCCAAAAAACCAAGATGATCGAAGCCTTACGGCTGATCTTTTCTCTGAACTACACCTTTGTGCAAATTAATTGAAACAACCGCTTAAGTTTCCTTTCTTTTCCATATGGTCAGTTTCAAACCCACTGGATTTTGGGATTTCATGATATTGTTGATGCCATGAATTTATATTGAAGATTTGTAAATTACATCAAAATAATTATTTGTTTGTCAAAAGTCTTTTTCTTGGGTTAGATTTTATAATTAGTACAAAACATTGAGACATGTGTTAAAAGGTCATCACCTTTATGTTACGTTTTCTTTTTTTAATGTGGTTTAAGCGTATAAAAATACACCAAAAAATGAATTATTTTTAATATGTATTTATTAATAGATATGTTTTCTTTATATTCAAATTAAATGTTGCATTGAAAGACATCTTTCCACTCATTGGAACTTTTTTTTTTTATTATAAATCTTGAAAAGTGTTTTACACGTTGTTAATTATAAGACTTTTTTTGCAGAAAAATGTATTCGGCAATTTTAATGTGATGACGATCTTTTTTTTTTTCTTTTTTTTGTTCGACAAATGCCAATCAGTAAATAAAAGCTAATAATCTCGCCCTTTTTGTTACGTAAAGAATAATTACCATCAGGCAACTCGATTCTTATGAGCAAATAAAAAAAAAAAGAAGCTAATTACGCCCTCCTTACGTGCAAATCCGCTGGAAAGGAAAATTGGGACAAAGAGTGTTTTCCGGTAAATCACAGCTAATAATAAGAATGTTGAAGAGCAGACCATCGGGACATCTGCCCATGGAACAACGTCCCCGGTCACATTCGTAGAATTCCTGGCAGTTGGACTCCAAGTCGGGATAGCGACCCCATTCTACGCCTTTGGGACAAGTGAATGGCCGTTCTTGAAAAAAATTAAATGAAAAATTTTAGTGATTAAAAAAACAAAGAAATTGTTCTTTCTACTTTTTTATTATTATTATTATTACTAATATGTATTAGTATAATTTAGCGATTATAAAATCCCTGGCTAGATTTTTTTAAATGAATACGTAAAATGCCAAAATGTTGAATATTTGAAAGAACGAATAATGTGCTAACAACCGGAAGTCGTTACGGTTTATTTGTTTTGTTTTGGTGTTGTTTTTGCTTTTTTGCTATCTTCAATTTTTTTTTTTTTTTTTTTATTTTGTTTTGTTTTTTTTTTTTTTTTGTTTTTTGCGAAAATGGATTAATACTACCAAACATTTAGTTATCAACTATGCTCTTTGAGTACTCGAAGTATTAATGTCCATGCCCTGTGGAAAAGGTCGCATAAGGTCATAAGAAAACATTTATACTCCAGACACAAAGGACGATTTCCAAGTTGATATATGACGCGTTCGGTGGAGGAAAGACGTATTCAACAAAAAATCGAAAATTGTTTTTCTCGCTGCAAATTATTCATTATATCATATCCAAGTATTTTATAAAAAAATTAGAGCCGATTACCCAATATTTCAAGCTCAGTTTAGGTTTATAGTTCATAACCATGCAATGAGATTAGGTAACATAAACTGTAGATTTGTTTGTGGAGTATTATTTATTGTTACACAATTATAGTGAAATCATTAAGGTTTTTTTTTTCAAAAGTATTTTATTTTTTGCCGTATATTAATTTAAAATATTCTTCATTACAGGCTTTATTTTAGAAATGTAATAAGGTCATTCTAAATTTCAGAATTTTGCTATTGCCCATCAAAATGACTGGACGAAAGCGATCAACAATTGAAAAGAGAGGTAACAATGCGTAAACGAAATAGTTCCAGCTTGTTCAACTTAGGAAACTTAGCATTGCAGCCCAAGTATTCTAAAACGTTGCCAATAACAAAGGAGAAAATTAAAAATATATAACAACAAATCGAATATAGCATCAAAAATTTATGTTATTTTTATTTATTTGTTATGTAACTAAATAAATAATTGTCAACAATGTTTCCGTAAAACTTGATGTTTCCTGTAATAAATATTATTATTGTTATTATTTTACTGAAGTGTAAGGTAGTCCTATATTTACAATTCCTTACGGTTAACCATGAAAAGAAATGTTGATCAAAACTGCCTAAAAATTATCAAATGGTGAATACACCCCTCCTTCGCCGAAGGCGTTATAGGCCCTGTTTAAAAGAATTCTTTAAAAAATAAACCTAAATTTTGTAGTATGAATCATAGTCATTAAAACCCAGCTACCATTAGAAAGAGTAAGTTGCTTATATTTAATATACATGATCTCAAATAGTAGCCATTGTTGACGACTGACTACTAAAAATAACTAACCAATTAATAGTTTTAAGTTCTCTGAATATTAGTGCCGAAAAGAAAGTACTTTTCGCTGGTAACTGGTTTCCAGTTTTCTTTGAATTAGTACTTTGAAGTTGCTGACTGAAACCAGCTATTAAAATATCACTCATTGTAGGTAGTGGCAAAAATTGTATTTCCAAATTTAGCAAATATTTAAGTAGTGCTTTTGCTTTCCCTCCCGAGGCCAATGTAGCGAGGTTGAGAGAGGCTACGCTGATGACATATGTATTCATAGTTGGGATAAGAAGGATCTTGAACAAAAAATCATTCTCTACTAAGTTTTCCAAGAAATATCTCTCAAGATAAACATTTCCAAAACAAAAACTATTATCTGGAGTCGGAATGAAAGCATGGCGCTTACATTGAATCCATCATAAAAGTTCAGGATGTGGAATTAGTACATAATAAACAGTACAAATACTTCGGCGTATGGATCAGTTATACCAAATTTATTATAGAAGATAAGGAAATTGAACATAGAATAGAATTCACTAGAGGTAGTTTCTTCCAACATTGCCGATTGCTACAAAACCATCAACCTGAAAACTCGAGTCATTTTCTTAAACAGCCTCGTCAGATCGAAACTTTTATATGGATGTCATGCATGGCACCAAACACGTTCAGAAATATCTAAACTGTCAGTTGTATACAAAACTCTTTCTAAGATAAATGGTTAAAAATCGCTTAATCTAATACATATAATCGAATGAATTCAAATAAGATAACATCATAAAATAAAGTCCTTTGATGTATATATTATTCTTAAATAATAATTCCAGTTTATCATTGTCAGCTGAATTTAAGCGCTTTCTAAGATCAATGCTTTGAGCGGGTGGATGCTGAGGGTCTTTGCCAAAGATCATCCTTCTTTGAACATTGTAAACTGGCGCTACAGAATCACAATTACAGAAGTACAAAGAACTGTACCAAATAACAGAATAGACATCACTTAAGGACAACCAACAGCAAGAAGAACTAAAATGGATAGTACATGTAAGTCGAAGAGAAAATAATGATATAATCAAGATGTTGACATTCCTTCACTACTTCCCTAGAAGTTTCACCTGTCTCCTTCTGATGCTAATTATAAGTGTTCGTTTTGTTGCCATTTTCTTTGGTCGTTGTTCACGTGTTCAGTCCATGTTATTCTCAGCATCCTTCTATAGAACCCCATTTCTGTTACCTCACGTCATTTTTTCATGTATGATGAGATTGTCCATCATTCACTACCATACAGGAGGACTGATATTACATAACGGTTCAGTACTCTTTTTTGTTTCTAACGAAATTTGCATGTTTATTAATATTTTGCTTAGCTTTAGAAAAACGTCTTTCGCTATTCCAATTCTTTTTCTGCCAACCATAAATTGCATTTGTTATATTTTCTGTGTAAATAATCTAGTATTCTCATTTATACAATAAACTCTATTGTCTCAGGTAAGAAAGAAATGTACTTTTTAAATTGATAAAAGTAAAAATAACCAATGAAAGTTTGCCTTACTCGTACTTTCAAAAAATGAAGACCATATTTAACCTTAGGACGCTAACCATCAATTAAAGTTACACCACTACTAACCATGGGTATATCATAATCGATTTTGAAAATATCAAAAAAAATATTAAATATAAATCTATATTCGGAATATTTTACATGCAAACACTTCAAACTTTGAGTTAACATTGAAAGGACCTGAAAAACATATTATTTAGTTAAGAAAATCAGGTATTGAATATTGTAATTAAAAATAGGAAAATTTGCGCTGGGTACTATATACCCATGGCTAGTGTTCTAGGGTTAATTAATTTTGCGATTGTATTGGTTATATTTTCCGCATAAGTCACCTATGGTTTATATCTGTAAAATCAATATCATTGTCGTATGTAAAAAAAAAAAAGATTTTCCCCATTGAAATCCTTAAAATTGAAAATATCCAAATATGACTCTCACAATCAACAAATGATGGCCATATTTACATATTTTTCCAATTACATTGATTACATTTTCTATATGAGGAATCTAGGATTTTCATCTCTACAATTAACTCTATTGTCAGATGAAAAAAAATTATATTTTTAAATCATTAAAAGTAAAATAATATGTGGGTATTTTGTTTGTTTACTGTAGTATATACATGTAAAGAAAAAGAGA